AATAATAATTAAAACAATTATGTATAATTAATAAAACATTATTGTATAATTAATACAAGAAAAATTTAATTACTTTAATATAAATAAATGAATTAATCATAATTTTTATTATATATATATATATATATATCTTTCTTAATATTTGTAATTTATATATTACCTTAAAATACTTCGAATAATTTTTATATTTTTTAATATAATAATTAATATTAATTTTACAAAACACTTCAAAAATATATTTTAAAAAATATTAAATGCATATAATTCGTTCAATAAAATATACTTGATATAAATAAAAATCTAGTAAATTTTAGTAAAATTTTAGTAAAATTACTAAATATAAGTAAAACCACGTTCAAAATGTAGAAGAAACAAGATCGATTCACAATTTTCAAATATATTTGATTGGACGGTACAGAATGTATATCCCGTTTCTCATGTCAGTTTACATCTGTTATACGATTTGTTTACCTATGGTAAATTTGAATCGGTTATATTTATTTAAATAGGTTATATGTTTTTTAACACAAGAAAAATATGCCATCAACAAAGAAAAATCAGTATGATTCTAATTGGGATTCTGGTAAAAATTTAACAATATTAATTCAATAAATATATTTATTTGTTCAGTAAAGTTCTTTTTAAAAAAACAAGTTATTATAAAGAATTTTCTTTTAGGATCAGAATCTGATAATCGATCAGGATCGTCTAGATCAAGTCGTAGCGGTACACCTAATTCTAATACTGCAAATTCTACACATGATAGAAATTCAGATAATGAAAATGAAGCAAGATCAGTGGGTTCTGATATTAGTGAAAGATCTTCTAAACAAAATTCTAAAAGTCCATCTCCAGTTAGATCAGATTCTAGACATTCAAGTATTGGATCTACACATAGTCAGAAATCTGGTTCTCAAAGATCTAGATCTGGTAGTCCAAAATCAGTTATATCAAATAATAATGATTCACAAAGATCTCAATCATGTTCTCCAAAAGAAAGAATATCTGAAAGTCCAATATCTCCAAAGTAAGTAAATTTATAATTTAAAATATAGTTTAAACTATCTACAATTTTTTTCAAGATTTTAATTTATTTAAAATGCTTGCAATATGTTTAAAAAACATTAACTTTATATACAAATAACTTTTGAAATAATGGATTTTTAAACTTAAAATTAACATTTTTGAATTTTAATCATCAAAAACTATTAAGATTTAACAATATCTCAAAGTAAAATATAATCAATATTTCTAACAACTTATTATTAATTTCTCACTTTTTACAAATATATATTTATTGTTCAATTTTTCATGCTATTTTATTTTTTTGCACTTTTATTTTTATTTATTTCTAATATTGCCAGAGACAAAGACATTATGCATATCACGTTAAGGGATTTGAGGGAAAACTAATAAGAAGAAAAGAAAATCAATTAATAATGATTCATGACTGATAGTATTATCAATTATCATTTAGAGACCATTAGTAATGTAATACAATGTTTATAATACAAATATATAATATAATACAGTAGATTATGCTTGCTAATGCTATCAATAATGATATGAAAATAACAAAAAAAAGAAAAAAATTATCTAAAAATTTCTCTGATAATTCTGCATATAACATCTTTTTTGACAATCTTAATTAATTATCCTTAAACTATCTGTCTACTATAAGATAAATCTAATTTTATATTACACATAATTTGCAATTATATGTTTATTTTTAACATTAAATTCTAACTTTTTTTTAGAGTAACAAAATCTGATTTTGCAAGGAATGAACCAATAAAATCTGAACAAAAATCAGAAAGTCCAGAAGAAAATAAAGATGATAATGAATCTGAAAAATCCTTGAAGACAGGAGGTTTGTAAATTAAAAATAATAAACAATTAATATATAATTTAAATACAATTTAAATTTTGCTTCAATGTCTATTATTACATTAGATAGTATAAAATCAAATGATGATGGAGAATCAAGTCCAGTACATAAAGAAAATAATAGTGGTTCTACTTCAGAAGCAGATGATAAAACAAAAAGAATAAAACCATTAATAGATTCTGATTCAGAAAGTGAACCAAGAGATAAGCAAATTTTAGCACCAACAGCAGATGCTCTTTTTGGAGATGCTAGTGATATCAGTACAGATGATGAAAAAGATAAAGAAGAAGAAAAAAGAGAAAAGAGTTATAGCAAAAGTAGAAGTAGAAGTAGAAGTAGAAGTAGAAGCAGGAGCAGGAGCAGAAGCAGAAGCAGAAGTAAAAGCAGAAGTCGAAGTAGAAGTAGAAGTAGAAGTAGAAGTCAAGGTAGATCTGATAGTGGTGGTGAAGGCCCTAATCAAGCTGTTATTGAAGATGTAGGTATAAATATTAAATTGTTTATATCAATTTTTAAGAAAAATTTTTTAATATTTTTATATGTATATAATTTGTTGATTTTAGGATATGGATAAAGAAAAAGAAGAAGAACCAGAACCTCCTCCAGAAACAAGAATTGATGTAGAAATTCCAAAAATCACTACAGATTTAGGTCGTGAAATACATTTTGTAAAACTCCCAAATTTTCTTTCAGTAGAAACACGACCATTTGATACAGAAACATATGAAGATGAAATAGATGAAGAAGAAACTTTAGATGAAGAAGGTCGAGCAAGATTAAAGTTAAAAGTTGAAAATACTCTTCGTTGGAAAGAAACCTTTGATGATCAGGGAAAAGTTATCAAAGAAAGTAATGCTAGATTTGTAAAATGGTCTGATGGCAGCATGTCTCTACATCTAGGTTCTGAAATTTTTGATGTATATAAACAGCCACTTCAGGGAGATCATAATCATCTTTATATTCGACAAGGAACTGGTCTTCAAGGTCAGGCAGTATTTAGAACTAAATTGACATTCCGTCCACATTCTACAGAATCTTTCACTCATAGAAAGATGACAATGTCTTTGGCTGATAGATCACAAAAAACTTCTGGTATAAAAGTATTATCACAAGTAGGAACTAATCCAGATCAAAATAGATATGAAATGATTAAGGTAAATTACAATTTAATTTTATTTTATCATGAAAATTTCTATTGTATATATATATATATATTCTATTGTATATCTATTTATATATATAATTATATATATTGTATATATAGTTATAATAGTTAATATAGAATTACTTGTATTGTAATATTATATAGAAAGAAGAAGAAAAATTGCGCATGGCAATGCGAGTTCAAAGTAAAACAAAAAAGAGTACTGCAAGTAGAGGAACTACTGGAAGATCTGTTGGTGGATATGGTGGTGATACTTACCATGATGATGGTTCAGATGATGAAGGAGCTATTTCTCTTGCAGCAATTAAGAATAAATATAAAAAAGGAATGAATATTCCAGTTAAAGGTAAGTTATATTTAATTTATTTAAAATAATATTTAACTTATTTATTAAAAGTTATTTTTATATAAATAATTAAAAAATATTATATATTTTCATATTATGTTTTAAACATTTTTTATTTAAATAACAAATATCAAAATATCAAAGAAAATAATAAATTTTAAAATAATCATTTTATTTTTGTTTTATATTCTTAGCATCAAATATATATTCATCAGATGAAGAAGGTTCAGATTTTGAAACTTTAAGACCAAAAAAAAATATTAAAGGAAAGGTTCTAAAAGATTCAGATGAAGAATCAAATTCTGGAAGTGCTTCGGGAAGTGGAAGAGATGACAATCAAGGTGATAATGCTAGTGATTAAATCATTATTTTAGTAAAATATAAATAAATAAATTAACATTTCTTTTGACATAATAAAATTAATTGTATAGATAAAACAATCATTTTTTCTTTACATATAATAATATGTAAAATATATAATAAAATCATTTTTTAATTAAAATATTTTATTTGAGACAAGAAAAAAGATTACTTAGAATATTTTTTCTTTTTTTTAAATATTATTAATATTATAATTTTTAAAAATGTTAAATTTGTTACATATTGAAAAGATTGATGAGCTCTTAGTTAAGATTAGTGATGTCATCTCTTTAAGAAACAATAAAATCTTTATTCTTTAAATCATTTTAAGCTATATGATAAAATATGATCACATTTTATGTTGCTATTAATATGCATATGTTGCAGACAAATGATTGATGAATTCTATATAATATATAGAATTCTATATAATTCTATATAATATATAAAATATAATGTATAAAAATATATAAATTCCTTATAACATAAAACTTAATTTATAAGATATATAAAATATAAAATAGATATATAAATAAAATTTATCTAATTTAATATATTTTATATTTTATAATACATATACAATATATAGAAAAAAATTCATATTTATATAAAATATACATGACATATAATTATATAGAAAAATAAACATGTATAAGATGATACATATAAAAATACAATATAAAAATTAAGTAAATTTTTTTTTAAGATTTTTAATTAATAGGTTAAATAATAGCAAAAAAAAATTTATCGAACGATTTCTTGAGTATTTTTATAAAGCAAGTATAAACAAAAAAAACAAATAATGGAAAGAAATAGAGATAAGAAAATAAAAATTCAACGTTAATTCTAAAATAAAACAATATAGACAAGAATAATACATACACACACACACACACACACATTCCAGGAGAAATATAGAGATAAGAATTGA